TATATATATATATATTAGTTTAACTGTTTACATTTTGATGAAAGGTCTTTAATAGGCTATTCAACAGCATGTTCCCATTGTGACATTATAGCTTTTATACTTAAAATGTCAAACATAATATCTATAAAATAGTGTGGATGTTCAATAGCAATAGACTTTAATATGTGGCTAGTATTTATTTGCTTATTTATTTATTAGAAATAGAGAAAACATCTACGTAACATTTTAGTTGCCATAGGAGATGCATATGAGAAGCATGTGATTTCTTCTTAGAAACGTTATTATTATTATTATTATTATTATTAGTGAAATATCAGTCTATTTTGTTGGAAGGCATGGGCTTGGTAATCTTCATCAGTTCATCTCAGGTTCAGTACTGTGGGAAAGCTCCCCAGTACAGTAGAGCACACTAGATGCAGTTTGTAATGGGAGATGCTCCTCATGAAGACTCAAAGCCTCCTCCAGTGAGATCCATAGCATCTCTGTGATGTGCAGTTGCTTGAATGACAGTAAAACACGATAAAAAACTTATTTTAAGTAGAAGAATGAACCAATGCATAAGGTAATACTGAATGTTGCATAGAAACCTTGAATTTTTTTAAATCATTTTAAGACAGACAGTTTTTCAATTGTATTTGACAGTTAAATATCACAGTAAGCATTTGTGAACGACAAATTGATAAAACATCCCTAGTTCTTATGAGTCTACTCATGTCGACTACTTTTCTTTTTCTTCTTTTTAGTTTTCCCTGGGGTGTCAATGTAATCATCATATGAAGGATCCAGTGGCTCCGTTTTAGATATTAAACTTGCATCAACCATGTCTTCACTATGTCTTTCCTTCTCTTTCTTCACCTTTTTCTTCTTCCTCCTCCTTTCCTCCGTCGGCTCTTCCTCCTTAAGTTCAGATAATTCTAACTGATCACAGACAATTTGTGTCTGTTCTTCTTTGATAAAAACTGCTTCACTGTCCTCTTTCCTCTTGTCTTTCTTTTTCTTTTTCTTCTTTTTCCGCTCCTCACCCTCGATCGGTTCCTGACTGGTTCTCTTGGGAACAGTTGGAGAGACTACGGTGACTTCATCTTGCACGTGAGCTGCAAAGGAACTACCAAAAGGCTGGAAGCGTTGCCTGAGACCAGCTGGGATGGATGGAGCTGGAGTGGCCGGGATGGGAACGGGACCTTGGTTCTCACTGCAGTTTCCGTAGCTCTCTGAGATCTTGAGGACTCCACTGAAGCCGGAGGAACAGAGGACAGGTTTCTGATGTTTCCCTTTGGAAATGAGCAGATCGAGATCTGATGGTGCCGTTCTGCTGCTGAGGACGCTGTAGATCTGAGAGGTTGCACCAGAAGACTGGACCATTTCCAGTCCTGATAAGGGAACTTGGAGGTTTTCAAAGCTGCAAAGGACACAAAACAATGATTATTAAGTTGATAAATCACATTTTCAATTATGCAAAGTTTAATAAAGGGTTTTGTTTTTCAATATGAATTTTACAAATAATTTTAGCGATGATTTCTTGCAGTATATTTAATACATTTAAACCATTAAGCCAGAAGCACACAAGCAGTTACCCTAAATGGACAGACATCATTTTTTATTTGATCTACAGGAGCATTTAAAAAGAACAATATCTAGCTAAATGAAATATTTCAAAGCACAGCATGATTTGAAGAATGTATATTCACAGTAGAGCGTTCTGTGACTTTTAAGACAATCACAATTTTGATATTTCAAAACAGTAATATTTCCAGGTTTTCCATGACAATGGGAACCTTGTCAATATTTTCAAAATTATTAAAAAACATAAATACCCAAGTAAATGAGTTCTAAAATAATGTAAAGGACTACTAATAGACTTTCTGCTATTAATAAAAATATTTAAAAAGTATTATTATAATGATAACGTACAGGAATGCTGGAATTTACTGGACTCCTGTAGATTTTCTATTATTATTTTAAGCATTATTAAATATTACTTGCTACTTGCATAAAAATAAAATTAACTATTAAAAAAAACATTAGTATTATATTAATGTAATATTATTATTATTATTATTACATTTTATTATTGCTGTGTGAGATCTCCTCAGGATTGGTTCAAATTATGACAGAAATCCTATTAGCAAACCTGTACATTATTTGCAATAAACTATTTAAAACAATAAACTAGGGTATTTTGTACCATTTAGGATCGAAGCGAGCTGGAGCTTTGATGATCCATAATTCCTTCTCTCCATCTTCGTCCTGTAAGGCACTTGCAGAGGAATCATACGGCATGGACACAAAGTCGGCCGGACACTGGTACTTTGAAACTGTGAGGGAAAAAAAGCGAAAATAAAATTAGATACTTTCCATTGACATATTTGAGTTCACTGTATGTAGTGAAAAGACTGAACAGTGTTAGCTGTTAGCTAGTTAGCACCCACCTCTCTTCTTTACTGTCCGGCGTTCACAAGCTTCTTCTTCACTGTCCGACATAGCGACGCTATGCTTTTACTATAACAGTATGCAATAAATGTTTTCCGATGTCAGTGTCACCAGTATGTTCCTCCGAATACAAATGCCCATGTAAACATGTGAATCACACGTGGATGGAAGGGAATCAACTTTGACCCGGAAAGACTTCAACATTCTCTTTGGAGAACGCCTGTCTGCAATACATGTAAGCGACAGCAGAGGGCGCACTTATAAAGCTTTTCTATGAGACTCTATGGGAGAGTTTGACAACAGTGATAATGGGGGTATATACAGACACGATGTGAATGAATACAGCGTTTTTTATGTAATATTAATTAATGTGTGACTAAATTACAATTTTGAATTTATTAATGAAAAACCGGACTAAATATGTTTGCATTATATATATATATATA